GCTCTTGGTGTATTGTCCTTTTACTATGAAAAAACTCTTCGACATATGGCAAATATCACTCCTCTTCTTCATCTTTGGTTTGCTTTGTACTTTGTCTGTCTTTTTAATATGGAATTTTAAATGATTATGAATCTATTAGTATGTTCCTTTATATTTTCTTCTTTTGTTTTTATACTTAGAAAATTCTCTTTTTCAAAATCATACATATATACAAGTATTTTTTTCATTTTTGAAATGTTATAATTATTGCTTATTAAATTGTTAAATGATCTGAGTACTATTTCTGTATTTTCTATCATGTATCATTTGTCCTCCTAATGCTTCTCTACCAGTACTATGCTCGTTTACTTACTGAATTTCATATGTTATATTATCTTACAAAGCTTGCAAGATATTACAAAATAATATACTCCTGTATAATTTTCAATTTCAAAATTTAAAATGTTCACTTATATATTCTATATAAACTTAAAAATATTTTGTCATGTTCCAAAAAAAGAGCACTTTGGAATTTTTATTTTGGAAGCATTAAAACTAAACTATTATTTGGGGAGAATGATCATCAGGAACACTGTTTATCTTTTTCTAAAATTTTTGTATTTTTCTCTAATCTATTTGTAGGTTTTTTCCTGTAATATGAGCACACAGGCATATGACTTTTTTCTATGTATTTTGTATTTTATATTGGATTCATTCTCATTCTTTTTAACAATATAAAAGCAACCTGTTTCTTTAGGAGATTACTGAAAATTTTTCCACTATTATATAGGGCATTTTTTGCTACCACATCTCTTTAGAGATTCTATTGTGAAAATAGTTTTGCATTAATTGTTTTACCCTTTTCAGCTCTTAGTTTTACTTTAAAATTTTAAAAAAGAAACTCCTTAACATTTTTTGTTCATTTTATTTTATTTTAAATAAGAAAAAAAGTCATTAACTATAACTCGTCAGATGATTTGACTACACAAAAATAAAATGTTTTAATAACTAATAATATCGTTACCAAAAGTTCGGTACTTGTCTCCGTGGCCCAACAAAGAATGAGGACAAGCAGTTTGAGGAAAAGGACAGAGAAGTTTATTCATCTGCCTGAAAATGAGGAGGATGGCAGGATCTTGTCTTAAAGGGCCATGATCCTCCCTGTAAGCAGACATACAGAGCTTCTAAAAGGGGATTTTCAAAGTTAGCAAAAATATCAACATTTTTATTTTTTATTCTTAACAGATATTTTAGAGCACCTAAAGTCTGGCCCATCCATTGGGGGTTTAGGTCCTCTTTATCCATGGGACATCTCTTTACTCTGGTATGATGGACCCAAGATTTTACTGCTGACAATTTCAATGAGGTGTGAGTTATTAGAGGAACTTCATAGGGTCCCTTCCATTTCTCTGACAGTTGTTGCTCAGGTCCTTGTTCTCTCCAGGCTTTAAGCAAAACACAGTCTCCTGGTTTAAAGGGATGGAGTGGTGCTTCCAACTGGGGCCAGGACCCAAAAGAGGCAAACTCATGCATGGTGGCTAATATCTGACCTAATTGTTTGACATATTGCTTTATTCTGTTTTCTTCACTTACAGTTATATTACCATACTTACCACAGGGCACTAGGAAGGGTCTCTCATAAACTATTTCATAGGGGCTTAACTTAAGCCTGCCTCTAGGGGCTACCCTTATCTGGAGGAGGATAAGTGGCACCATTCTAGATGTAGGGCTTTGCTTACTTGTTGAGTTACCCCAATATAAAGTAGGGTCCATGTTCACTCTATATGAGTTCCTTCTCTATCAGAGTTCCTCTGAATGAGTTCCTTCAGAAGGATTTTGGTACCTTCAGACACTCTCTCTGTCTGGGTAGGATAAGCCTTTACCCAGTCTGAAATGGTACTTGCTAATACAAGTTTAGGCATCTGAGTGAAATCAATTTGCCCATCATCAAAAGGATGGGTTCCCACATGTTGAGTTCGCTGTGCAGCAGGTTGCTTTTCTGTCTTTGGATCGTCTAGAACACATAAATAGTTTGTTGCAAACAGGGTCCTCTTAAATGAGGTTCTACCAAGTTCATTAAGACCTCACACCCCTAATGTGTGCATCCATGTGTATGCTGCATAAGAGGCCAACCAAGGCTTTGGGTAGGAGAATGAATCCATGAGAATTCTGTCTCCACTTAGCTGTGCCATCCCCAATATCAAAGCCCTGGTCTTTCATTTTAAATTGGGTTTATTCTAATCTAAATCCAGCCAGGGTATCAAGCCACTGAGGAAGAGATCACCTTTAATAGTCTCCTTAGCTCTGCCAGTGGCCTGATTTCTTTTTGCAACATAAGTGTCTCCCTTTTTGGTGACCAGAACTCTGCATGATGGCCACCCACATGGGCTCAGCCATGACCTGTATCAGTATTATTGAAGTGGCATATTTAATATCCTTATTTCCCACTCTCAGGAGCCCTCTTTTCTTCCAAATGGCACCATAAGAATACACAATCATAAAAGCATATTTAGAGTCCATATAAATGTTTATCTTTTTTCCCTCTGGATAACTGAATAGCTCTGGTTAAAGGAATCATGCTCATCTTTCTGGGCTGAAGTTCCAGGTGGCAGTGCCATTGTTTCCAGTACCCATTGTTCCGTGACCACCACATGTCCAGCCCTTTGTTGTCTGTTGTTCATAAAGCTGCTCCTGTTGGTGAAAAGATCCTAATATGACTCTGGCATCAGCTGATATGACAGATACATCCTGCTAGAATAGACACCTTCCAGAATCTCTAAACAGTCATGCTGTGAAGGCTTATTCTCTTCAGCTGGTAACAGGGTGGCAGGATTGAGAGTAGACACACAATCTTCAATAACAACTCATAAGTAGCTGCCATTGCCTGGAGGCAAGGAGGCCAGCCTCTCACAATGCTGTCTAGTGGCTTTGACAAGTATGCCACTGGCCATAGGTTGTCTCCCAGCACCTGTACTAAGACTCCAAGGCACATTCCTTGGTCCAATTGCAGGACCTGCAAGTTCCTTGCTAAGCTCTCGCTTAACAGGGCAGGATAGCTGTTAAACCCCTGAGGCAACACAGTCTAGCAGCACTGTGAGGTCATCCTAGTCTCAGGATCCTACCATTCAATGCAACTGATACCATTCATAGTCACTTATATTCATTGGTATGGGGAATTTAAATTCTTTCTGCATATCCAGGGGTCCTATTGATCTATACAGTCTTAATCACTTTTTGGTGGCTTCTTCTTGCAAATGCTGCAACAATGTGCGAGTCTGCTGAAGCCCAAACTTCAAAGCAAATTGCTCCACAGTGGCAGCCTCCTGTGTGTTTCACCAGGCCCTGGTATTCAGAGTTGTCCATCAGGGACCCCAGCAGTGCAAACTCAAGCATGGCAGAGCCTGTGGCGCCTTCTGCAGTGGGTGGGGAGTTGGTGTCAGGAGAGCAGGTACATGAGATCCAACCTGCTTAATCCCTCCCCAGTGTTATCACATGGCCTTTTGGCATGTTTGTGCTGCAACTGCATGAAAGATTGTACATATGGGATCTCGCCCCATCTACCTGATCTTTGACAAAATAATTCCAGTTGTAAGATCGTATAATAATTTAGGGTTCCATTCATCAGCCACTTCTCCTCACACTCCAACATGTACATTGGATTACAATAACACTACTCTCTTTTAGACTAGACTTATAGTTGTAAATTGGCCATTCAGCCAAGATTCTCCCCAAGGGGCTTTCAGATGGAATAGCAGCAGAGCCTCCCATGTTGACAAACAACAATAATGAACACAATACAACCAGTAGACAATACAGGGAAATCCCAATGCAAATCATCCTAATGCCAAGGCCTTCTCAAACAAATGGGAACCACACAAACAAGAACCAACTTCCTCGAACAAGAACCGACATCTTCTAATCCAAATGAATTCCCCAGGTTCCCTAGTTCCACTCTACTGTTACTTCCACCTCCAAACCATGCCTACAAGCACATGCCCTGCCACAGGGCTGGAACATTCAAAAACCTTCCCCAAATGGGTGAAATCAAGGGTATCAGTGTACACACTGGGGAACTTACCAAAATGGCCAATGGCATTGTGACACTTCCCAAATCAGTTTCCTTTTCCTCAACGAGGTTCAGGTTGCACAGAGCTATGGCTAAATGTGGGGAGGGAGACTAGGGAGGGAATTCCCTGGAGCTAAATGGGCTCTGGCAGCTGCTGTGGTGGTCCCTCACTCACCCCGAAAAGATGTTGCTTCTAATAATTGGTAAAGACCCACAACTTGACCGGGGGCTGCTCTCCACCTCTTCCAGCCACTGCAACAGTCGCAGGGTGCTATTCCACCAGGGGGCACTGATGGTCCCACCCAAGGATGCCAAAGTCTGTTACCGAAAGTTTGGTACTTGTCCCCTCAGCCTAACAAAGAATGAGGACAAGTGGTTTGAGGAAAAGGAAAGAGAAGCTTATTGATTTGCTGGCAAATAAGGAGGATGGTAGACTCTCCTCTTAAAAGCCCATTGTCTTCCTTTTGAGTAGAAGTATAGAGCTGTTAAAAGGGATTTTTCAGCTTTGGTCTATTGCTGTTTAACTTTAGCATCTTCTGTGAAGACAATCTCTTGACCTCTACCTGGACAATTCCATTGAGCCATCTCCTGTGGTACAGAGATAAAATAAAACAAAGCACATTCCTCTGCCATTCTAATTACTGGCTTCAGGCAGGAATGCAGGTTTTAATTCCCAAAAAGATTGGGGGGGGTACATTTAAAGGGACAACTTGTAATACATTTATTTTGCCCTTTTTCAGGCCCTTACCTCTGTTACAATACAGATGAATTGATTTTATCCTCATTATTGTCAATATTATAAATATTAATTGCCTTATGATAGCATATAGCATTTATCTGCTTAAGTATTTGCTATGTCAAATGGTTTTGATATTCAGAGCCCAAATTCCTAAATTAATTATGGTTATTTTTATAGATCAATATATAATACCTAATGTTGTTATTTATATTTTAGGTTAGTGGGATGGTTTGGCCATGAACTCAGCACGAGATTCAAAATGGATAACAGTAAGTGTATTCAATTTTACCTAAGTCATTTTATTTTAATTTCATTTCAATTTTCATCTGTCTTTGTATTGTATGTAATATACATGCCCCACAGAGAGTGTACTTTGAAAATGTCACTGAGAATTCTTAAAATAAGAAATGACATTTCCAGAGTGTAAGACTACATGTTTATAGATTGTAGCATGAATTTGAGTGTATTCCTTTGTAAGGAGATAAAAGGAAACAAAGTCTAACACACAGCACATGTGGTTTGGTCAGATCCTATGAATATGGTGTGCCCAAAACATCGAGCAGTGAGGACAGGGGGGAATTTGGGGTTTGAGATCAGATCCGGAGAGACTTGGGTGTTAGTTTCACTTTGCTGCTTAATAGTTTTGTGATCTTGCACAATTTGTATCATCTTGGGTAATTGTTTTTCTTTTCCACATATCTAATATGAATAATAACACCTATGTAAGTGTTTGGTTTAAGAGTAAGACAAGTTCAAAACAGCAAACCAAGCAACCCCATGGAAATACTTTAATAAATATTCATTTTATGCCTCTTTTTTTCCCTAAATATCCTCCTTTTGTGGCTTTTGCCACATACCAAAGAGTGTAGCAATTCTAATAAGCAGTGAAACGTTAATGGGTAGAAATGAAACTATACCATACATACGACTCACAACTGCACTGCTGCTTTTTCCTGAGTGATTCTATTTCT